TGAATTGTCAGGGGTCCTGCCCTTTGGATGAAATAGTAAATCAAGGTCCTGGCTGTCTGTTCAGGTAAAAGATAAAGATTCGATGGCATGCTGAAAAGGAACTTTGGGAATTTCTTCAAGCTAACGCTCCCCCCACCCCGCGCCCACACCCCACAAACACACGCGTGAATACACACGCACACACAAAAAGAAACACAAAACATGCACTTTATGACTGTTTATGGGACATTACTGCGCGCAATTGGATGCTGCAGTTGTCTACAAATATAAAGTTGCTACACTCTAGAGTAAGCTCTGAAGCGCATCAAAACATTTTGATGTGATAAAGTGTCAAATACGAGGATTATTATTATAACAATGATACATGCTGATTGTGTATAACTCAGTAAAGTTGCTCTAGGGTTACTTCTCGTCTGAATGGTCAGATTTTGTGTTCCAGTTTTAGGAGCGATCAGATATATCTTAGCTCAGTCCAGCTGTTTTAAGTGCCGAGGGATCTATGATTCTTGCCAATTTGGAATTAGTTTGTACATCAGATATCACATTGCGAACATTGATTTGTATCCATAACTGTGGTCACCATTAATTGAATCAATTTAAAAATTTTAACCTGGGAATATTTTGCACATCACTGAAATGGAGTGACACAATTTATTTAAAAATGTTAATGTTACATTGCTTATCATTAGCTGGGATGCTCATTTATAAAACGGTCCATCAATCAATATTCTACTTTCAGTTATAATAGTTGCTGTAATACTGATTTGAAGGCAGCCTCATGTTAGTCACCCCTTAAATACCATAATATACATTAATCCCTCAGCAAAGGTCTATTACTACCCTTGAGCTCAACTCCTGTCAGAAGTTGTTAAATAAGACTGGAGAGTAAAGCTCTGCTTTGAAACATTTATATGTTAAGGTTTCATTCCATAAGTTCCCAAACCAGCTCCTTCAATGACAGCTGATAAATAGATGCACCGTGGCACTGAAACTAGATTCAAATGTAACTTTGCGTTGAGCTAATTTCAAGGGACAACAGAAGAATGCTATAGTTCACTCGGTGTCTTCAAGCTTATATACATCATCAGTTAGGATTCCTGTTCCTGAAGCAGTGACTCCTGCTGGAAGCTAATTGTAAATGTAGGTGAAGTCAGAAACAGGTTCAATTGCATTTTCCTCCACTCCTCCTCCCTCACCCCTCAGAATAGTCCATTGACACTCGCATTCTAGACTTACATGAGGTACAACAGGGCTACTGATGTGTCTGCATGTTAATGAAGAGAGATGGAACTTCAGAGGGCAACTGAGCTTCATGTTCCCCTCAACAATAATACTAATAAGTTATTATATATTCCCCTCAATGAGACTAGACGAGTTTCATATTGCAAAGGAGGCTTGATAACCTCAACTCTCAGACATATTACTGGAGGCTCACACAACAGGCGTGAAATGCTACAGTATTCATGCAGGTAGACCTCAGTGGGCGTGGGGGAAACTCAGCACTGAGGTGGAAGTGTGAGTCTCGATTTTAAATAAGTTTTTCAATTTAACACGGGCAACATGTCCAGAGGATTGCATCTCTCTCTCTGATGGCTGGGGAAACGAAGGAGGTGGGGTGGGGGTGTGGGATGGGGGGGTAGGAAGAAGGCTTTAACGGCTCAAGTTCACAGTGACGGTACTATGTTTCTTCTGTCACCTCTGTACTCAACACCATTATAAACATAACACTAAAAGCTGGCAGGACTGGTGTACTGTTGCACAAATGCACTTCTAAAAAAATCAGAGACAACAATGTAACAGAACACACATCTTCTAAGAGTTTCAAAAATGAAGTTAGAAAAAGTCATACCAACTGTTCTCAATGCGATGTCTTGCTAACTGGCTTCAAGAGAATACTTTAACAGTATTGCAAATTCCACACTTATAGCACAAATAGATAATAAAAGACAAATTCAAAACCTGGTTATAAAGTAGTCTCAATCATATACACACACAATCAATAATGTAATGTAGATTCAATGATGATCCAATTATTCTGCGAACCTTTCCAAATAGGAAATCCTGGAAACAAATACAGTGAACCACAAATTTCTCAGTTAGATACATAAATGCTTTAGCAGTATGGCTTCGACCCATTAATTCTTTTGGTTTCAGACTCAGCTCTGGAAGACAATTTGAAACATACCAGTAAGATGGTTATTTTCTTCATCCATTTGTTCCCCATTTACTAAAATATAAATGAAACAGCTCTCAAGTTCCCAAGTTAGGTCCAGTTGCAGTTAGAGAGAGAGAGAAAAAAAAAACGTTTACACCTGTGCTGATTTACAATCAGTTTGTTTTTAACAATAAGAGTTCAGGAGAGCTTGTGACGGTACGAATTTGAAGTTCCAATCTCAGACAACACACGACAAATGCCGAGGTTCATTGGAGACTGTTTGAATCTCCTCATCGTTCAATGTCAGCTGCCATTCTGACACGCAGGACAAAGGCCAAATAGTATATTTGACACTGCTTGCACTGCCATTTGTCCAGCCCACATATCAATCGGTCAGCAATTGCTGCACAATTCATAACTCAGCAAAAGAAAATTCCGTGGAGCTCCTTTTCCCTTGCAGTAATTGGGGGGAGTGGGGGAAGGGGGTCAAACATAATTGACTGCAAGTTAACCTTACAAGCCTCCATAAGCTGCACTTCCAGCTGTCAAATCTGTCAAGGTTACTTACTCAATGTTGATTTTGGTGTTGGGTAAATATGTCAATGGTGTTCAATTCAAACTCATACTGTACAACCATGCCTACGCAAAATAAAACCTAAAATTCTCAACAAGATTATGACACAAGTCAACATTAATTCAGCATCAAGAAACAATTTGAATATATGATTTACATATTCAAAGTTTAATTAAGGATACTAATAGACTATGGGATTGCCTGCCTTGCGTCAACTGTACTTCAAGCCATGATTAAATGCTTCTCGATGTGAATATTGGGCAGCCTTCAACTTGATGAATACTATTAAAAGCACTTTCAGAAGGACACAAATAAGAAAGCAATTAACAAATGTTTGTTGGATTCTATGCAATAATGATCAGATCTACTCTCATTCCAAAATGAAGATTAGAACAGAAATTCATACCCTTAATTGTAGACATTTTCCCTTAACACAAAACATTTATTGATCTAAGCCATCGGTTACTGAGGCTGCTCGTAATGAGCATGAAGCTACCAACCACTTCCCCTCAGACAGTTTGAAAACAAAACTGAACTATGAGCACTTCTTAGCATCCACATTCAGGGCAGGATTTGCATGCATGCGAGGTCAGGTCACGTAAATGCACTCGTTGGCCATGTGCGCTCCACGGAGACAACAGAAAATCTCACCAGGGAGAAAACAGTACTTAATGGTGCATAGAAAACTGAGGTGGGCAAGAATGTGAAACATTTTTTACTTGTATAAATTTAGAACAATTTAATATCATGTGCTCTATATTCAGCATCACAATTTTCTAAAATAATAATCACAAATTTACCATATAATAATACTAATCTACAACCTGTAATTGTTAGTTTATCAACGTCAAAATGCAGGCAATTCCGGGTGGCAAGTTTTTAGAAGTAAAAAATGGAAAATCATTTTGGTGGACAAATTATATTCCAGGAGAAACCTAGGTTACTTTGACCAGTGTGCAGCGTTTTCTTTAATCAATCATCCTCAACAACTGAAAACAGGAATGTGAGAAATGCTAACAAAATTCCATGCTGCTTCTCCCAGCTCCGAAATGAAATTCTACTGTATACCAGAACCGGAAAGAAAAATGTGAACAATGCTCATGGCAATCTTAACCATGGAGGGGCATGTTCTTACACAAATCTTTCAAAAAGGAGTCAGACTGCAAGGAGATTATTAAGTGTACATGCAAATGTTCCAGTTGACAAAATGGAAAATGTATCCAAGCAACAACAATGTGTGTAAAATTGAGAATTTTAGCAGGAGACAACGCAAAGCCTTAGGAACTGAACTGAGTATTTCAATAACAGATTAGACACAGCATGAGGATCACCCCAGAAATGAGTACCATCAGTCCCCATTCTCTCCTGACTCTACAACCTTCCCATCTCCTAGCCGATCAAATTCAAGATCTTCGTCCCAACCTTCACATTCTGCCATGGTGTTGTCCCACCCTACTTCTGCGACCTGTTCAAACCCTACCAACCTATGTGCTCCCTCCACTCAGTGCAGACTGGCCTGCGTCATGTCTCCCACCCCATCATCAGTGGTTGGGCTTTCAGAGTGTCTGCCCCCACTCTCTTGAACTCCATCCCAGAGTTTCTTCGATTTAGCATTTTCCTGCCTCCTTCAAGGTGTGTCTACTGTAATCAATTTCTATATGATAATTTTAATTCATATTTAGGACAGTCAAAAGACAAAATTCTTCAATATTCAGAAAATAAACAGATCAAAAAGCCGGTGTTAATACAACAAACAGAATTAGTGCAAATCACATTATGCTTAAATCTCACACATTCATACCACTGTACTACAACAACAACAACAACAACAAGATTCCATTTATAGAGCGCCTTTCACGTCGGGAGGACGTCCCACTTACTACTTACACAGGTCTTCACCTAATGCAAGACAACTTTTATCAATCATGTTGAAGACTATAAAAAGAATTGTGATGATATTAATTTTGATAATGATAATTTAGTAAATAAATTCAGTAACAGAATAAGAAGACTGTTAATGTACAGACCCTTTATAGTAAGTTCCAATCGGTCACTGGTACCTCTCAGCACATTAGCACCTGAATCGCCTTCCGAGTTGATCCATTAATCCTACATCTACACGGCACCCTTACATCACAAAATGCTCTTCTTATTTCATAGAGGCGCTTTATGCAAAAAAATCTCATTGGCATATTAGAAAGGACGTTAAAAAAAATGCATGGTCAGCGTTTCTCATCACATTTCCCAACCATAAAACAGAAAGTTTCTTACCTGATTCTTCAGCAGTGGCAGGGGCTGCTGTGTGCTAATATCAACATTGTAATTTGGATCAGTTACATCATTTCCATTTGTGCTGTCTTCTTCTCTACTGCTGTCAGATTGTTCAAAGTCATCGCTTTCTTGGTCCATTTCTTCCTCTTCCTCACCATCCTCTTGTTCCTCTTTGTTTCTACCATCCTCCTCATCCTCTGCTATAACTCTGTTGTTGTTTTCTTCTTCTTCCTCCTCCTCCTCTTCCTCCTCCTCATCACCTTCCCCTCCATCAACCTGGGATTCATTATTGGTACTACTGCTAGCTTCAGCTCCACTTCCATCAGCATTCCTCACACAGTGCTCCTCTTGTTCCTCCACTACTCTGTTCATTTGCTCTTCCTCTCCATGACTTAAGGAGGCATTACCTCGGAGGGATCCTCCAGTTCGACGCCTCTTGCTGCCCCCAGACAGCAATTCCTGGTTCATTTCCAATAGCCAGCTTGCTACTTCTTGAACCTTTGCTAGATCGTTGGATGGTGTACACACTGCTGCAGCCTGCAAACGTAGAGAATGGGTGTTACATTTCAAAATGATTCTTCTTTTCAATTCTACTCTTCCATTTATTAAGGGTTTTAATCATGTAACCAGATATTTAAGAAGTTGGTTGTCATTACGAAAAAATAAATCAACTATTCAACACTTCCATAGTACAAAAGCAGTATAATATTCTAACAGAGAAAGATAATTTAACATTTAAGGATATATTAACTTTTCTAGTAGTATTGTTAATTTAATGGTCCTGATGAAATCTCAAAGCTGAAAATGTTAACCAATCGTATGGATGCTGACTGACCTCCTGTGGATTTGTAATTCAGATTTCCAACATTCAGTTTAATCGCACTATTATTGTGATATACCTCTCAAATAATCGTGGCTTTGCTCTACCTGCACTTTGTCACAAACATTTAGAGAAATGTACTCTAACTCCAGTTGCTGCTTCTCACCAATCTGCTGTCCCAGTTAAGAACATCTGCATATGTTACTTCACTAGTAAGCCTGACAACCAGATGAATGATAAAGTTAATCTTTTACTGTTAGAATCGAACTGTGCCTCAAGAGATCGGGTTAAATGACTACTGAATTGAAGAAAATCAAGAGCAAAAATTGCTGCATATATTGAACAAAAATGTTGGTTAATATTTGGATTGTAAAGATTTCAATTGTGCTTTTCTCATTTAAATGACCAGACAGCAGAAACAAAATGGAATGGATACCTCAACCAGCTTTGCTCAGAGCTGCCATTTCGAAAAATTATTTTCAACACAGCGAATGTGAACACAATGTATCTGTTAATTTTCACACTTAAACCTCAATAGGAGTACGATGTCCTAATATTTCTGTTGATGCAAATGTTAAACAGATCAATTAGAATACCCATTTCTCCCCATCTCAGATGCGATGTTGATTGAATTGTTAACCTGCAGTTTGAAAGGTAAACTACTGCACACCTAACAAAGCTCTGAAGCAAGAAACATCTCATTCTGAAAATTCCACCCAAATCTCAGAAAGTTTCTTGCACAATTTCAGAAAGCAAATGTTAATATCTACTATACAGCATCACTTTCAATCACATTATTAAAATGAACACAGGACCTTGGATTGAGTACACCATACACCAGTCAAAAACAACTCAATATGATACAGCCACGTTTACACCTAGCACTTTTGGTGGATTTGGGTTATAGTGGTGGACCATAGAAATATATAAATATGTATTTTACACACAAACATATAAACAAACATGCATCCTGCCTTTTGAACAATTCTGAACAGATAAGAACAGTTTTAATACATTTACACTCCCATAGAAAGCTTTGCTCTGCACACACATTTTAAAAAGAAATTCAAAAGATAAAAACATGAAATGGATACTCATACAAATTTTGAGTTTGAAATCTGATAAAGAGGGGTGGGGAAACTGTCTGTAGTTATTAACAAGTCACAGATCTGTAGTAAACTCGTGTTTTATTACCACTGCACTAATCCACACAAGTCACCAGTTAGGTAGAGGCAGCCTCAAAACACAATTGCAATCCATCTGGGGATGGGTCCGATGAAATACTGGTAGTTGCCCAGGGCAAGATAAATGTGCAATTTAACCTGTCAGGAGGAAAAATGAAGCTATCCATCATGGCAGCCTTATTATACAGAATAAATACTACATGGTTAGGTTCCTAAATTAAACCCTTTTCCATTTTGATCTGTATGGTTAAGTGCAGGTGTGTTTAATTCCCTTAAGTGTCTAAGCTGCTGCTAGATAACATTTTGTGCAATATTACACATTTCTAACTGTAATATTCAGGTACATATCACAAGTTTAATTGAAATAGTTCATTTAAAATTTTAAAACAAATGATTTCTCAATATTTGTGCAGTTTATGGTCGTAAAACATTCAATGCAAGGCAAAAATTGGCTGCCACGTTTGCCTATAAATACTGTCACTACAAAGGGCATCAGTCTGGTTCAGTTGGTAGCACTCTCGTCTCTGAGTCAGAAGGTTGTAGGTTCAAGTCCCAATTCAGGACTTTGAATTCACATCTAACCTAACACTTCAATACAGCATTGGGGAGAGTTGCACTGTTAGAGATGTCGTTCTTTGGATAAGATGTTAAAAACCCGAGCTCTCAATAATCAGTTCTGGTGGATGTTTAAGATCCATCCCATGACACTATTTAAGAAGAGAAACCAGTTTCTCCTGTGATCCTGGTCAACAATCCCCTGCATCATTTGCCTACAAACACACAGTCACTATACATCACAGGAAAATTCCATGATGTGGTTTGCGACATCTTGACAACGTGATACGTCGCTATAGAAAAGGCAAGGATAATATTACTTATTATGAACAATAATATTTCCTTGAAGAACTGTTTTCTTAAAATGAATGCTTCAAAGGAACATAGTTAAGAAAATAATTAAACACTGGAAAGAATATATTCATGGACTAGACATACACACACAATATGGTAAATTAGTGAAGTCAAATATTTATATGAAAGGCAAAACATTTTGCAAGTTAAAATACACTTTCAATTTAACAACTGCGTTAGAGCATTGCAAGCCAAGACCAAATGCAGGACAAGCAATATTTTCAAACACACTTTTATCATGATGACAAAAAGGCAGAGTTATCACTTTGCTATTAACTATTAGCTTGCTCCAACTATCCTTGCATCGCACTTGATTGTTTTTCCTAAAAGTATCCATATTGCAGTAAGTCTTTGCGACAATTACTTAACACTGATTCATTTCAGCATCAAACAGTGCTCTCTCCCTGTGCTAGAATGGTACAGAGCATTTCAATCCAAACATGTTAAGAAACTTAGACATTATTGTTATTCCAACTACTCCAGATTTATTTTTTGTGAATGAAAGCTCAGCAAGCATTTCAAAAATGTTTAGCCATTGCTGGCGATAACACAGTCCTAACACGGTCTCTTTAAAACATTTGTATTACTGTACACATTGAATAATTCAGATCTTCTCTTCCAAATCCATGCAAAACTAAGATCCACTGTTCCCAATGACAAAGCCTGGTTTTTAGTAAACTTATCCAACACAAATGAGAAATGAGAGTCAGGCAGACACAAAGATGTTTTTTTATTAAACATAATGCAGCCATACCTATTAACCATTCAAAGCCACAGCTAGCTTCAGTCTCCATAAATGGCTTATGAATATAGTTTCAATCAATAGTCACTATTCCATATGGAGACAATTATAGCCAAGAGATTACCTGTGCACTCCAATCAATATGGTGGACTAATCAGCACAGCTACCCTTCCCAGTTGGCATCTAACGCAAGTGCAATCCTCTTTCAGCAGTGTGGGAAAGGATCATTAAACTCACTTTTGCTAACCTTTGCATGCTTCTCACTGGGAAGACGATTGGACACCTTTCCTAAACCCCCAGAAGAATCTTAGATCAGCAAAGGAGCAACCTATCTCAGAGTGTATGTTAACAGGCACTCCACCACTCTCAGTGGGAATTTCAGCATCTCCCCAGCATGCATTCCACTGCACAAAGTACAGACAGGTTTTTATCACAACTAAAATCTCATTTGTGAGCTCCATGAAATATTTATCAGAGCAGCAGTTCTTACTGAACCATTTATTGCTATTATGTGAAGCAAACAAATGCACACATGGTAAATATATATTTATCGAAACAGGTGGATTTCAATTACTGTATTTTTAAAAAATACTTAAATGCTCAGTGTGCACACAACGTAAACACTGTATACATTCATCTTCAGTAACTACAGGGGCTGCAGAAGAAATATCTTCAAATTCTATCAAGAGTAGCACAGTGAAAGCCATTAGCTGTTGCTGCTATATATCTGACCTACCCATGGACAGTCACAGAGAATTCCCGAGGGAGCCATAAGCAGCACATGAGAAGATTGGACTGCTCAGGCAGCCTCTGCGTGTAAACACCAAGACCTTCACAAATGACCATCTCACTGCTTCTCTGACACTGGACCTATTCTTTAATTTTCAACAGGGTCCTTTCAATTTGGTATGAATAAGATAATCTTGAAGTCGAATTTAACTGTTTGTTTCATACTATGTGCACACTTTGTCCTGCAGTATCAAAGTCATATTCCGTTTAGCATGTCAAATACAGAAAATGTATTGATTCGCTGTAGTTATCGAGTTTTCCTGGAGTAGACTTTAGCAGAACATAATTAATATGTTGTTCAAGCAAGGAAGGCTCGTCTCATAACTCAAACACAAGATTGTATAAAAACGTAACCAGTCAGTTCATACAGCTCGTTCTCTAAATAGCAACGACGCAATATCAGGACTGATGCTAACTCAAGACATCTCATCTGCTGCTGTGTTTTTGCCTTCTTCATTCCAAACAAGGATAATTGTATTGTGAAATAACACAGTTTGGAATGAAAACCTCCAGCTGTTGTCTGCTTTTTCTAAATAAAGAAGAAATCTTTCGTCCTCTGCACTCTGTGATTTTACCAGTCATACGTGGTTGCCCTCCAAATAGCTCAAACGTAGGAGATTCCCAATCATCAAACATACAAAACTCCTGGTTCACAATGACGGCGCACTTGTACTTAGAAGCACCAATTTTTGATGACGACCAAAAAATGAAAGGCTATCCACCAGCCTGTGTGAGTGAGTAATGCAATACCATCTTCCTCAAGTGTTACATTGAACAGCCCATCTACTTATCTTGGCAGCATTTTTGCTCGGTAACACAAATTGACCAGGAGGTGTCTTCTGAAGAAATTTCAGCATATGAATGACTGTATGATCAAGTATAGAAGCAGCCTGGAATTTAGCTACAGACCAAGACTGAGGTACACAGCCAAGTGGTAATCAATTTTCACCCTGTAAGTCTGTGAAGAATAAATGTGGAACTAGAAATTGCATCATGCACATTAGATCCATCTCTGGCACAAATGTGTAGATTGTCTGATCCCATATAGTTAAGGCTTAAATTCATCCAGTTCATACAGATCTCTCATACACTT